GCGCTGTGTCATCCGACCGCCGCTCAACGGGGACTCCATCACCGAGTACGAAGTGGGCGTCTGCGAAGGTGAGAGGCGGCGGGACATCATCCATCCGTCTATCCATCCATCCCTCGGGGTGGGGTACCCTTGGGCGGCGGGAAGGGAAGGAGGGTACACGAGCGCCTAAGGCGCCTGTCCCGTCTGCGAGCTTGTCTTTCAATCCTCCCTGCTTAAAAAACCCACCCCTATTTAGAAGTTTTACTCTTAATTTTCATATCCTAAACTTCCAGGCGCTACCAATTCTCCCTTCCCATAGCGCTTCACTGGTTCGCTAATAGCTTATGCCAGCTACTTATGCCCAGCTGAAATTCCTTGATAAGGGATTCGGGAAGGGTTTGGCAGTTGGAGATCGACGGAGGTCAGTCGTGCACATATGATGCCCGTTCCGGATTCTCTCCTCTCTAAGGAAACAACAAAGGCTGATCATCTGTTGTAAAGTTTTCCTTCCTGTTCCTGTCACTTAATATCTCCCCGCCTGTCCTGCTCGGTATATGATGATAAGGGATGTCTTTTTCCCTGTTGGAGCATCAAGGGGGTGGGAAAATTCCCCGTGGCAGAACTCCTCTCAAAGTCACTTCTGCTTCCTGCCAGCTGCTTTTGAGGTGATGAGTTGGTGTGAAATGCAAGAGGAGTTTACCTTCCCTTCTTTTTTTTTTTTTTTAATCTGTCAGAGTTGCTAAGATTTATATATGTTATGATTTAACAAAAGGCCACAGCCAGATTTTTAGTCTTTCTCTTATACCTCTAGACTCGTTTTTCCTCAAGTTAAAGGAAAACATGGCACAGTAAAGGCATTACAAATAACCAGTAGTTTGGGATATGTATAAATGTGTGTGTGACTCAGAGTGGGAGCTTCGACCGTTCTGGAAAAGGAGATGGAAGTGGTCTCCTCTCGGCGGGTAGAGGGCAGTAGAAAGTCCAGAGTGTTGATGAGGCGGCATCGGTCCAAAAAACCTTGCATTTAAAATGAGGCACTATTTTGAGAAAGCTAAACCTGTTCATTTTTAGTGGACAACTGACCTTTGTCCTGGGGCTTGTTATTAGTTTAAAATTCCATTTCCCTCCATAACAGATGAATTGCAGACCACAGCAGAGCAGGGTAGTGTGTCCTGCCCGTGCTACAACCAATGCCATCAGCCTCTGTAGTTGGTGTTTGGGTAGAACGAGCTCCAGGGTTAAAAGCTGTGTTGTTAAACAATTGAAAAGGGCCCTAAACTGTTTGGGAGACCTTGGTTGAGACAATGTTCTGATATGTACATTGCTGTAGTCTCTTTCTCTTATATTTAGTAAATATTGGAAAAGTTTTCCTAAATAGAAAAGTACAAGCAAAACATACCTGGTTTTGGAGGAGTTTCTCTTGTGTGTTTTCAAGTAAAAGCTTGGCTAAAACAGCTTTCCTTCTTCCCTTTCATTAAAAGAACTAAAAGCCTGCAGTCATTAAATGCCTTAATGTTCCATCTCCCTTACTATATCGCAGTACGGATGGACGTCTCTGGCAGTTTAGGAGTATTTCATTCCTTTGAAGTGATGCAATCTGTACATTGCTGTAGTTCAACTCATAACACGTCCCATCTACTGTTGAAAATAGTATGAAGCATTTGTTGGCAAGATTGCATTTCAATTAATGTTGTGGTTAGGAACTAGTTCCAGCTGTCCTTATAGGAATAGTCAGGGAGATAAGTTATCTATTTAATTTTCATTCTCCTAAATGAAAAGCAACTGAGCTGAACTGTCAGGCTAATAAATAGTCCTGGAATACCTATTACTGAATTGTCAGGAAACTGCCTCATTCTAAGGAACAGAAGTAATGTGTGGTTCTTTGTGGTGTGTGCTGTGCACAAGAGGTGGCAGCAGGGATAAAAGAGGACTTAATGTACTGCCTCTGATCACAAAACCGAGGTTGATTAGCTCTGGTTTTTTGATCGTGATGACCTAAACAGTTGTGCACAGGCACATGTGCAACGGGCTAGGCTGGTGATGCCTAATGTGTGAGTAGTACTAAGCCATGCCTTTATCCATTAACAGAGTAAAGGCTGCCTTTTTTTTTTTTGTTGTTGTTGTCTTGTCTACTCAGGGTGCAAACCCTTTACTACCCCAGTTCAGGGAGAAGAAAACTCAAGTGTCTTACAGAACTGTGTGAATAGAAATTGTTTTTACTCTCCTTCCTGTCTGTAGCGCTTTCGCTGCGGTTTTTTACACTGAAATGACCCCTACTGGCTACAATTATAAGCATTTTTCCCTAGCACTTTTGAAGCTTCAGCGGTGTCCTGTTTCAGAGTATCAACACATATTAGGCTAAAGAAAACTGAGAGCTCGAACAGCAACAGGTAGAAATACTTGTCTGTTAACTTAGTTTTAGTATTTAACACGCTTGACATAAGTGAGTTCTATAACACCTGATGGAGAAGTCTCCATGACGTCTGGTACTGGTTGCTTCTCTTTCTGAAATTACAAATGCACTATTCTTTGTTAAGGCACTGTTTAGTAATGAATTCTGTTGCTGATTCTGAGATTTTCTTTCTTTATCCTTCTAAAACCTGAAGGAAGTTCTTGTTCATTTCACCACCAACCTGTTCCTGTTCTAAGGCTCCATTTGTTTTATTATCCTGAATGCAGTTATATTCTTAGTGAATAATAATTCTGAGGTCAGCTTCCCCTGGTGT